GTGGGACCCTTGGATCTCTACACCCTTAACTACCAGTGGCAGGTAGTGTTTGGTGGACTCTGACTGCTCCAGCTCACAGAGGAGGCTGTCTTGTTGAGTCAGAGTTTGGATCTCTTGGGTTTCTTTGGTTTCACATGGTGTCAGAGGAGTACTCACCGGGCTCGTGTCCTCGGCTGAGGAGTCCTTTGTGCCTTCCGCGGTACCTGCTGTTGGGCAGTCTGTGTCACACTCCGGAGGCGTATCGATTGGCAGTGGCTTGCTCACTGTTGTCCACATGGTTTGATCACCATAATCTATAATCGCGCCGAAGCGATTTATAAAATCCTGGCCAACCAAAAATGGGAATGAGTCAACATGGGTCACGCGTACCGGGTGGTACAGTGTCATATTGCCAATCTGCATGTGAACCATTGCTATAGCTGTCAGGGTTGTTTTCTTTTCTGAGAGACCCTGCATTTCTATAGCACATTCAGAGAGAGGTATTATCCTGTTAACACTGGCAGCGGCCGTCCTCAGCTCCTCGAACAGTTTAGCCGACATAATTGTTATGTCTGCTCCACCGTCCAAGAGTGCTTCGTGTGTGAGGACACCTTCGAGTGTCACTGACAGGTACGCCTTTTTGGCGACCCCCCTTCTGATAAAGTTACACAGAAACCTTTTGGGTTTTTTCTGACGCTTCTTCACGCGTTCAGCCTTATCTGTGTAATCTTGGTTTGTCTGAACCGTCAGCACAGCAGAAGCTGTTTCTGAGTGTTCAGCCTGTGATGACTCGTCATCGTTCGTGTGTGTGTTTACCCCCCCTTCTTCCGATGAGGGGTTGTTTGAGGCAACAACAGCAATGTCTTGGTGTGTTCCACCGACATCTGTAATGTTGTCATTCGCGCCCTCGGATGTAATAGGAATTACATTACTGCAAAGTGCTCCTGGTTGGGTTCCCGTGTCAGTGTGTTTCAAAGTTTCTAACAACCTGCGTAGTTTCTCTGTCTCTTCCGAGCTCAGAGGTGTAGGGCCTTGTTTCTGGAACTTTTGTGATTTTTTCGCCTCGGTTCGTTTCATCCGAGGTGGGGGACGGTCAGGTACGTCTTGCGGGGGTTCCTTTACGTACTGCCCCTGACGATATGGTTTCTCATATCGTTGCGTCCTGCGCTCACCCATTTTTCGATAATCACTGGCTTCCCCTGAAAGAGGAGCTTTTTTGTCCCAGCGTGCACCTTCAGGACGCGGTTTGTTAGCTTGAACAGACTGTTTCCTCTCTTTCTTCTTAGGAGGAGGCGGCGAAGCACGTCGTCCTTCTAGTTCAAGAGGGAGGGGTTTAACCTTTACACTAGGAAACACTTCTATGGGCGTCTTAGCATGAGAACATGCTTCAAACACATTCACAGCACACTGCTTAATCTCACTGATGGATTTTTCTCTGAAATTTGCCATCATTTGTACTGATTTTTTAAAATCAGAGTGGAGATTTTTGCTGAAAACAAACTTAAAACCATCATCTTCTTCCATTCCGGTCTCATTTCTATTACCAAAATAAGCTTGGAAGATTCTTTTGTAATAAACCTTTGTATGTTCAGTTTTACCCTGAGTGACCTTGTCTGCAGCTGGGAAACCAGCAGGTCCCGTGCAGGGGTCGTACTCTCTGATCAAAGCTTCACACAGAAGGTTGTAATCCCTCTTCGTTGCATCAGGTAGACGCTCGATGAAGGTGAACACCTCTCTGTCCGAAGTGAGCCGTATCAGACTGATCTTATCCTCTGTCGTAGCATTAGGATAAGATCTCAATCTGAACTCCAGATCTTTGAGATACGCTTTTGTTCCAGCTGACCCCATGGGTCCGGGAACAAAACGTTGTACATATTTTGAGATTTTCTGCAAATCATCCATTGAAGG